GTTATTGGTTTCAGTGTTCATTCAGAATATATTGAGCATCAGCTATGTGTTAGGCACTATGTTGGGTACTATGGGAACTCTAAATATACTTTGGAAAACCTGTTTAATGATAATTCATTTATTTTTCCTAAGGTTTTAAAAAATGGTCATTAAGATATTACACATTTTGGAAAGGTTGTTATCAATAGTTTTATTATACTGTTAAATGCTTGAAAGTTCTACAATGTGTATGAGTTTCTTCACATCAAAGCTTTAACACCAAGCTTTAAACATTTCCTGATTTCTCAGTGACAGGTAAAAATTTAATCAGGAGAATTTATATCTAGAGAATTTTGAACCTTAGTGCCTGGAAAAGAAATATTTAAAATCCTTTTTTCCGCTATCTTCTCCTGTTCTTTAAGTTTTATTTAATTTAGATGAGAAAAATACAGTTTTGGAAGAGCACTATGAAAAGAAAATCAGATGTATAAAAGCCTATACCTTGAAAATTAATAAATTTTTCACATTAGTAAAAAGGGAAAGGAACTAAAATTCACTGTTTGCTATTTGCTAGGCAAGTTACACACACTATCACATTGCATCAGCACAGGAACTACCATGCTATTATTTTATGGGTGAAGATACTGAGGCCAGGAAGCGTGATAAAGTTAGAATTTATGTTCTTGTCACTGCTGTGTCAGAGAAAGCCTTTGTTTTCTGAAAGTAGTCACTCTCTGGATCTCTTTGAAAAGTTGTGTTCCCTTGATTCATTCCAAGTATTTTACTTTGCATATTCTTTCCATCCATTTTCAGGTGTCCCCTAGTGCATGAGCTTCATGGAGAACTCATTTCAAAAGTGTTTCCACAAACAGAGCTATCAGTGTTTCTGGTTGGGAGGATAAAATGAAATTAAATAGATGACAGGACACTTTGAAATTTGAAAGGACATTATAAGATTATAACTTTAATACTAATTTGTAGATATCAGATGATTCTGAAGAAGGGTTGAGTTTCAAGCATCATTTTATAGCCTTATTGAAAAGCATTAGAATAAAGTATAAACAGAAGTTGAGTTTGCCCATTGTTCTTAGCAGAACATATAATGATATATAATCAAGGTGTTATTTCTGCTAAGGTCAGGGCCTTTGTCATTTTTGACTGTCCAGAATTGAACATCCTTGGAGAAATTTCAAGAGTTTTGGGAGGGAAGATACCAGTTTCTATTTAGGGGAGACAACTTGGGTATGTGATCCAGACTTAGCTAATTAGATGTTCCTGTCTGGACGAAGGGAAGATAGAAGGCACCAGATAGTCAGAGGCCCTTATGGGTGAAGGCTGCTGTGGAGTCAGCCTGGTAGCATTGCTGCCTTAGTGCAGGACCTGCAGCTCCAGAGTGGTGCACTGAGGCTGTTCTTGTGGCAGGGTACTTTAGCTGTGCCTCACTTTGCTCACTTGCTGTCCATTTCCTAGGCTTGGCTCTCCAACCTTTTTGATTATGGGAGCTAGCTAATATACTTCTCATAATTTCTGTACTTCAAAGTTTTTGTTTTTGCAACCAAGAACCCTGATGAATAATGAGCCCAGTGTAATTTTCATTGCTGTTTTAATATGCCAGGCCTCTTTGTGATGGATCAGAGTTAATTGTTTTCGTAACTTAAGTAGCTTATTTGTTAACTGAATGTTTTTTTGCAAAGTTTTAAATTCAAATTCCTGAAGTCCTCAGAAGTACTACTCACTAGGGATTTGAGATCCCCTCTCCCCCAAGTTTATGTTACAAAAGTTTGAAGCTCCTCCTTTTGATTGCATTGGATAGGAAAACTTTCCTTTTGTTTTGCTCTTGCTGCTGTTGTTAGGTGCCCTAGAGTAGATTTGGACTCATAGCGGCCCATGTGCAGAGTAGAACTGCCCTCATAGGATTTCTAAGGAGCTCTGGTGGTGTAGTGCCTAAGGCACTTGACTGCTAACCAGAAGGCTGGCAGCTTAAACCCACCAGTCACTCTTTGGAAGGAAGGTTGGGCAGTTTCTGTAGTGATACCACCTTGGAAACCCAAGGAGGGGTTGATATGAGTTGGATTCGACTCGACAGCAGTGTCTTTGGTTTTTTTCTTTTTAATCTTTATAAGAGCAGATTGGTCTTTTTTTCTGGGCTGGGTTGATTTGACCCTCACTCAGCCTTTCAGTTAGCAACCCAAAGCTTAGCCACCATTGTGCCACCAGGGTTGTAAAATGTATTCTTTTTCACCATCACATAAGTAACACTAATAATCTTGTGTTTGCAAAATATATAGGACACAGAAACTGTTGCTGGCCTTGGGCTGCTATAGCTGATTGTGTAGGGCAAGCCCTGTGGGAGGGCTCCAGCCATGGTACAGTTGGTGGCTGAGATCTATTCTTACTGCATTTGTTATGCCTAGGTGTGGGAGTGCACTAGAAGGAAGGGCATCTTTTCCTAATTTTGGCAAGCAGTTATAGATAGCTTCCTAATTTTGGCAAGCAGTTACAGATAGCTTCTTGCCAAGTCATACATGGACTACATACTCTCAGGGGGAGCATGTCTTTCTAATGAGCAGCTATTAGCAGCCTTAATAATCAAATAGGTTTTTTTTTTTTTTTCCCTTGTAAGAAACTGCCTTTTGTTTGTGGCAAACTGTTGAAGGCAGCATTGCTACCGAATGGAATTAATATGTCTGGTTGATCAAGGTGAAACAAAACGAGTCTATTGTGTTACCAGTATGTTTTCACATTAGGTTCTGTACAACAAAACCAAAAAATTCAGTAGTCTTACTTAAAATATCCTTTCTTTAGTTTCCACCTAAAAATTGTATGCATTTTTCTTCTTTTTCAGTTTTTTTTGGAAGTGAGGGTGATCAGATAGCAAGCAGGTTATCTGAGAAATCAAATCAAGAGTTATGATCAGTGATCAGTTGTCAAAGAGCTTTCCTCAGTCGTATTTTATTGGGTTACAAATGTTTGCCTAACTGAAGAAATAGTCACTAAACATCAAGGACCATATCGTAAGTCTTAACTGTTTGGAATCTACAGTTGCAAAGTAATTTAAAGTCATTTTTCAGCACCACTGCATAAAACATATATATTTAGAAACTTACAAAAATGTTGTTTAAAAAATTATACTTCAGTAGGATTTATCCTATTTTACTGGCCAAGCATAATAAATAGGTCCCAAATGAAACTTTCTCAAGTTTTAGTATCTTAAGATCTAACTGACATCTGTTTTGTTTATAGCCTAATATGTATATACATAGAAACCAGGCTGTGAAGTTTAAAAGTATATTTTATATTAAGAATACTTAATATTAGTAAATACTAAGAAAAAAAAAACATACTCCCTCTCCAAACTTCAGCTTCTGTTTGTTTGCTTACAGTTTTTAAGATGAAGGCTCCCATTTCTGTGTTTTATCCCTTTCATGATGCTGAGTAGGCTTATTAGGGTATCACTACCCCCATAAGCAAGTATTGTGTTTGTTCTTTGGGCATAAATCATTTCATCAGTCTGGGTGTTTCCTGAGCACCCATTGAGAAGGGAGCATTCTCTCGACTTGAGAATGACTTGGAGTGATTTTTGGGATTTGGAGGCAGAGCTGACTTCAAACATCTTAAGTATATACCACTTCTTAAAATCAACGTTTGTCTCCCCTGTGGATTTTCCGTAACTTGATTTTTGTGTGTGTGTGTGTGTGTGCGTGCGTGTGGTATAACTAGAATAAGTATAGTGCTAGTGTTTTGCTGGGGAGGGACAAGTGCAGGTGTAGAATTACAGCTTGTTCTAGAAGGTTCTCATAGCACCTTCACTTTAGGAAGAAGGAAAAAGCACAAAGGCAGAGATTATTTAATTCATGAAATAGTAACTGCTAATATGCGCTTGGAAGGAAGGTTGGGCAATCTACTTCTGTAGTGATACTGCCTCGGAAACCCAAGGAGGGGTCGCTATGAGTCGGATCCGATTTCGATGGCAGTGAGTTTGCTTTTGGTTTGGTTAATACGTGCCAGGCACTGCAGCTACTGCTTATCTAATACCTATTTAACAAACGTAATTGTTCTTTAGGTGCTCTGGTGGCATAGTGCCTAAGGCATTTATTTGACTGCTAACCGGAAGGAGGTCGGTTCAAACCCACCAGCCCCTCCTCGGAAGGAAGGTTGGGCAATCTACTTCTGTAGAGATACTGCCTCAGAAACCCAAGGAGGGATAACTGTTCTTTAGCTCTTTTTCTTTATAATGTGAATGACATTCTCATTGTCTCCTGCACAAAGTTTGTTCCCTAACTCATGAAACGCAGCTGGGTGATGCAACAGAAAATGCTACCCAGTATTTTTAAACACAAACAACAAGAGCAGAAAATAGATACCAGAAATGAAGCAGAGACTTGTCATCTATGAGCTTGGGACCATTGATAGTTACGGAAAGAGGAGGCTATTTTAAGTATCATTCTGAACAGCAACTCAATCAATGTGTTGAAAGAGTGTGGGACCTGAGGTCATGAGACATAGGTTCAAGTCTTAGATTTGTCACTTTTAGCTGAACAGCCTTGAGCAAATGAACTCTTTCTGAGCTTCAATTTCCTCATGTGTAAAATGGCAAAAAATACTTGCCTTACCCACCAAAGTAAGTTGTGGCATCAGCATGCTTAAAAATCCCTTGTAAGTTGTAAACTTCTATGTAAACGGAAGTTGTCTGATGGATTAGAATGGGTCTAGGAGAAAATGCTTTCTATAATTTTAAATAGTTAATAAAATTTTATAAAAACATGGATATGAAAACCAAATATAGTTGGCTTTCCCCTCATAAGGTTCTGTTTTAATTTTTCTCTTCTCTTTTTTGTCTCACTAAGCTGTTGACCTTGAGTGATGATGTCGTCTCTTTTTACAGCATTGTAAACTTCAGCTTCTAGGAGCCTACAAGGATGTTCTCTGCCATCATCACAAAGCCAGGCTCTAAAATGCAGACTTGAACTCCACTTGAAAAGCATGTAATCTCATGCATTAATGGCAAGGAGAAATTTTGGCTACTGGTATAAAACAAGGCTCACTGCCAAAAATGAAAGAGATATTAGAGAAAAGCTTCCTTGGCAATAACTTCCTGCAGAAAATTTGATCCGACCTTCAACTGCTGGATAAATTACTTTCATTTTTAAGATGTATTCAGAAACCACGCTGATATCTTGATCACCTAGAAAAGTACATAGGTTATTTTAACCACAGAAAAAATAATTATTAATTAACAGAACCAAAAAAAACCAAACCCACTGCCATCGAGTTGATCCTGACTCATAGTGACCCCTATTGGGTTTCCGAAGCGGTAAATCTTTATGGAAGTAGATTGCTTAGTCTTGCTTCTGCAGAGTGGCTGATGGGTTTGAACTGCCAGCTTTCTGGTTATCAATCAACTGCCTTAGTCAGTGTGTTACCAGAGCTCCTTAATTAACAGAGGGGAGCAAAACACTAAAGCGTTTCTCTAAAGTTCCTTGTAATAATAAAAGAAATGCTTTTCCTTTAATAAGCAAGGAAAAAGTGTCACAGGAGACAGTAGCAATCATAACTGCAAAGAATTTGATTGCTTTTTCATGTTCCAGATGTGATGTGTGCACGTGGTTAACTATGAGATAAGTGGGTGGAGGAGAGTGGTCTCAGATGACTCAGCAAGTGGTTGACATTGCAGCTTTTGAACCACTGCAGAACAAGGCCATTAGGGAACTGCATCAAGAACAGTTAGTTGAGAGGTAAAAGTGACTTCCTTTTGCTCACTTGCTCAAGAATTTTTTTTTGCATAATTGACAGTGGGACAATGGAGGCTTCATTTCCAAAAGGAGAGAGGTGACACATAATAATTGCCTGTAACTGTAACAAACCTTTGAGGACCCAAGAGAATTTTCATTTCAAAAAGATTATTCTAATAGTTAAAGAACTCCTCCCTGTGCTCGCTTCGGCAGCACATATACTAAAATTGGAACGATACAGAGAAGATTAGCATGGCCCCTGCGCAAGGATGACACGCAAATTCGTGAAGCGTTCCATTTTTTAGACAAAGTATATGTGAACTGCTGTATGAAAAGTGAATTTGCTCTGTAAATATTCACCCAAATCAAAATAAAATTAAAAAAAAAGAACTCCCTGCAGTGGTTCTTTGGCTGTACATTAGAATCACTGAAAGGATATTGGTGCCTGGGCTCTGTCCCAACCACTTAAATTAGAATCTGTTAAGGGTTGGGCCAAAGCATTAGTATTTTCTTCAAACTGCTACCCTCTCCCATGAGTCTAAGGTGTAGCCAGGGTTGAAAACCCTTCTGTGTGATCTCCTCTCATATCCACTTGGGATTGGATGAGCAGAATAGTGCCAGCTGATGCCTTTCTCAGGAGGACACCCAGGATACCCTTTGAAGCCTGCCCATCCATCTCCTATCATGGAATGAACAGAAGTAGCCATTCCCTTTTCTCCCAGGAAGGGTGACTCCTTTGGCCTGGTTCTAACCCCAACCTCCTTGGAATAAGCCACTAAAATGGCAGGCCCACCATGATAAGTATGGGGACTTATAAGCATGCTGGGGAAAATAAAGAGAAGTGTACCCTAGGTCAGTGGAGTTTGTGCACATGAGGTGACTCAAGAAGTTTTCTAAAAATGACATCAGAGTACAGTGACCCTCAATGCTGTTGAAAATATCAGTTGGGTCAAGTATGGTGGTTTTCATATTTGTGTAGTGCCTAAGGCATTTGACACTAACCAGAAGTCTAGCAGTTCAAACCACCAGCCACTCCTTTCGTAGTGATACCACCTCAGAAACCCAAGGAGGGGTCGCTATTGAGTCAGATCAGATTCGACGGCACTGAGTTTGGTTTTTGGTGTTGGTCCATGAACTCGGTGTGTTGTAAGGGAGGCATACCCTATCCATTCCTACCTGACCTATTCATTTACTAAAACCTGCTTCCAAAGAGAAAATTTAGATGATTTACCCTGCAGGTTTTCTACCTCTAACCTAAAATTCTGGAAAACTTTATGTGTTTTAAAATAATACAGGTAATTCCCTACTTATGACTGGGTTCTTTCTAGTCTGACAACCCCATAGTAAGTCAGTTCTGACATAAGGTGAATACTCCCCCCCCCTTTTTTTTTTAACTTTTCATTACCTTCTATTAACATCTTTATAAATCCAATCTTCATCTTTTGGGGTTGGAAACATTACATATAAACTTACAGATATATTTTAACATTGTATGTAGTACATTTTACAAATAATAAACCGTACAAAAATTTAAACAGCATGGTTGTAAGTGCTTTATGTCCTAACTCAAGTATGTCAGAACTTGGGGACTACCTGTATTTTATTGTGTTTTTGAATTGCAAGTTTACACAATAAATTAGGTTTCCATTTAACAGTTACTCCCAAATTGTTCAGAGATACTGATGGCATTTTTCACAGGGTTTTAAGATTTTCATCAGTTCCCTTCTGGATGTTTTGCCTCCAGTAGTCTGGGTTCTCTGTTCCTTACCCTTTCATCTGTGCTTTACAATAACTGATGACCATTTGGGCTCATAATAGATCAGTACTGTAGAGGACACTTTATACAAGTAACAAAATGATTTATATTTCACAATTTAAATAGCACCTTATATGTACTTAAAAGAATGTTGAAATATTTTTTACTTAAAACTTTTTTCTCTGAGATTGGATGAATGAGGTATATGCCAGGAGAGGGGCACATACTCCCCAATGATTTGCTGCTGTTTTCCAACAAGCAAAGCAGGAGGACCTGGCAACATTGAGGCAGGATCTGGGCTTTGCCCTCTTGGGCACCATGAGTATCTCCTCGGCCCAATTCTTTGAGTACTTCTGAGGTAAGAAGAAGAGACACTTGTGCTTACCAGAGTCATGTTTTAGTAATTCATCTTTTATCATGTGGAATGAATCTCCACCATTGGCAAGGAAGTTTGGGAGAACCACCTTATATATTTCATCCATCTTGAGAGGCTCGTAAGTGGGTACTCGACACTTGGTACAAAGAACATCTATGCTGACCACTCTGTTCCCAGGTTTTTGGGAAAGGTCATACATTACATGGATTCCTAGGAGAAAAAAAAATGAGTGCATATGTTTTCTTCACTGGATCCAAAGGGAGACTTCTGTTGTCAAACAAAGGGGCTTTATTTTTAGTTGGAGTTTGAGTGTCATTTCACCAAGACAGCTGAGATAACTTTGCAGCTACTGTTTTTTTTGGTTAGGTTTAACTTTGAGTCCTTCCAGGAGGTCTGTGAACCAATGGAAGGAGAGCCAGCTCTGGCCCATAATGCATGAGGGGTGAGTCTGTGGGGAGAAAACAATTTTTTTTTTTTTTTTCCTCATCCTCATTAAAAATGGTTCAGTAACTTGGTTCAGTGGCTTTGGAAACCAGAAACATGACAGGCACAGAACATTTGTTAGAATTTTGAAGACTAAATAGTAATTTGGGACTAGCCAACTTTCACAAAGCATACAGCTACCCAGTACTTTGCTGGAGCATTAAGACATTGCTGTTGCCTTCACTTCCTCCTGGAAAAATGCAGCAGTCCCAAGAGGGAGGTATTCCATAGAGGGTGGACTGGACTTAACAAAGTATCAACACTCAAGTGGGGTCACCATCAAAAGCTGAAAAAATCAAGGCCAGAATATGATTTTAGAGTAAATTAAGATGATTTCTTTCAGGATTGTCTTATTCTACTGTGGAGGTAAATATTGAAAAAAGTGTTTCAGTAACCCTTGGAATTTATTTTCACTGCAACCTGTGTGATAAGCAGGGCAGGTTTTCTTACTGAGATGAGAGAGACTGAAGAACTGTAATCAGGTGTTCTAGTGTGTCTACATACCCCACTCTCAGAAATCATCCTTGTTAATAGTGACTAGACTCATTCCTTTGGACCTCTGCCTGGTTCCAGGTGATTAGGAATTTTAAAAAAAACAAGTAATGTTCAACTGGCTAATATTTTAATAGAAACTAGCCATCTGACCTGCTTATTTATATATTAAATATTGGAGGACCAGTTCCTGCAGATAGCCTATCCACATCAGATTGGGCTTTGGAAGTCTGGCCCTGACCTGACTTCAGTGGATCTGGGAGCTTTTGAAAGGAGAGCAAACCTAAGCAAATTTGACCATGGAGGTGCTGCTGAGGGAGAACTGAGCCAATCAGCGGGTAACCTCCCATCACCTTGGACAGGATGGCCCTGCAGCACAGGTGACTTACCGCCCACCTGCAGGAACTCTCCAGTGGACTGGCCATGGCGATGGACACTGTGTTCAAAGGCCTTCTTTAGGGTAGAACCTTTTAGTTGGATCAGGTCAAAGGTGCCTCCAAAGGGCAATACGGCAGCCAGGTTCTCCCAGGTAATTGTGCCTGAGGATTGTCACAGATAAGAAAGAAAATAGCTTGAGAAAATACCCTAAGCTCAGTTTCCCTCAGGGCTGGAAGAGGTGATAGGGAAATAAAAACAACACACCAGTTGCTATTAAGTCCATTTGGAGTCATGGGGACCCCATGTGTGTAAGAGAACCATGTTCCATATGGTTTTCATTGGCTGATTTTTTAGAAGTAGATTATCAGGCTTTTCTTCTGAGGCTTCTCCGTGTGGACTTTAACCTCCAACCTTTTGGTTAGCAGCTGAGCATATTAACTGTTTACATCATCCAAGGAAATAGGGGAACTTTGAAAGTAGCACCAGCTGTGTGGAAGTGATTAAAGACCCTTAGGGAGTGTGATGGCTAAGGTTATGTGTCAGCGTGGCTAGACTGTGCATCTCAGTGGTTTGGCAGTTATGTAATGATGGAGTTATCCTCCATTTAGTGATATAATGTAATCACTTCCATGATGTGATCTGGTGAGATCAGCCAATCAGTTGTAAGGGGAGTTTCCTTAGGGGTGTGGCATGTACCTAATGCATATGGGCATTCTGGCAAAGCTTAATAGCTTTTTTGCTTGCTCTGGATCCTGTGTGGCTGATCATCATCTGACCTCTGGTTCTTGGGACTTAAGCCAGTAGTCTGCCATATTGCCTGTCAGTCTTGGGATTTGTCAGCCTCCACAGCCCCAGGCTTACAGGTGAGAGACAACGTAGGGACGCCAGAGTAGCACGCCGGAAGAGCAGGAGAAAGGGGATAAAAGCCTTGAACCTGGACAGAAGAGCAATCAGCCCCAGGCTTACAGGTGAGGAGAGACAATGCAGGGATGCCAGAGTAGCAGGCCGGAAGAGCAGGAGAAAGGGGATAAAAGCCTTGAACCCGGACAGAAGAGCAGTCAGCCCCAGGGATACAAGTGAGGAGAGACAACTCAGAGACGCCCGAAGAAGCAGGCCAGAAGAGCAGGAGAAAGGG